GTGACAGATAGTAGTTAAACTCTATTTTGAAACTTGTAAATTGGGGCAAGAGGAGTAAAATTTATTTATGTATTTAGTAACTACTCAATATAAATTATATAAGCCAATGTAGATATTGTTGTGCTACGTAATACACTGGATTAAGAAACTAGGTTCCAAAATGCGAAAAGACATTCTTTAAAAAAATTAATTTAACTTTGACATAAACACGTGGGGATTAAGAAATGGAACTCAATTAACATTGAAACATTAGCATAATTGCACGGAAAAAAAAACGGCTTTAAAATTAGGAGAAGTCATGTGTGGAAGTTGAAATAAATATGAAAACCAATTATAAAAAAATTGTAATTTAAAATTATTTAACTTTTCATGAAAGATATGAGGAGAATCCTATGAAGTAGTCAAGTAGATCATGGTTTGTAGTCACTAGACTAAAATAAAGTGTTTTTTACGGTAATTTTTTGTGTGTTAATTACAAAAAAAAAACACTTTATTTTTATTTTAACGGATTGAAAAACTTGATTCTTCGATATAATACATTAAGTGACGACATGAAATATTTTCTCCGTTTAAAAAAGAATGACTTCTTTCATTTTTAGCAACACTTTAGTTTTAAATTTCTACTTAACATGTTTCAGACCACAAAAATAAAGGACATTTTGGTACATTTGATTCTTTTCTTAAATCCGTTCCAAGTCAAACTAAACTATTTTTTTAAACGAAAAGATTAATAATAATAATTTTTTAAAAGTTTTTCGAAACATTTTATTAATTTATTTATAATTCTCAAAAAACTCTACCCAAACAAAACTCTCAACTTCCTTGGTTCTTATTCTCCTGAGATATTTTGTATCTTATAATTTCTATTTTACAAATATAAATAATAAAGTTGTTGCTCAACCCTAATTTTAATTAAACTCATCTGTTTCTTAATATAACAATTAGTTTCAACAATGTTTTAACAAATATACATGAGTGCTTAGTTGTAACATCATTTTCAACATTAATTAATGTAAAATGTCACTTGTACAACTTATTTTACTGTTTTCTTTTCTCTCAATTTTAAGATAAGGAGTTTGTTTCTCAAAATTTTGACCAACCATACCCTAACGATAAAACGAAAACTAACGGTTTAACATATAATAAGCTGATTCCATAGTTAGATCTTTTTTTTTGGCAATGTTTATATAGTGATCAAATAAAGCATACCGATATGACTAATGATTGAACAAGAGTACAATTTGAAGATTGTTCGGATCTCTTTTGCACCTAACTAGGGTATATATAACAATAATGTACCTAAAAAAAAGGTGACAATAATTCAACATGTATTATTACTCTTGATTTTGTTGGGGGATGGGGAGCTAGGGATCTTTTGTGTTGTGATATTAACATGATAACTTGTGTGTGGATGGGAAGAGGGAGACAATGTATATCATTAGTCAATAGTTTAACATGGGGGTACTCTAATTTGATTTACTTTTCCCATTCCCATAAAGCTACCTCCCTCAAGGGAACACTCTAAATTGACATGAGATTCCCAATTTCAAAATTATTTTCAAGGAAAGAAGAAAGAGAACCTTGAGAAGTTATGGGAATTGATCCAAGACGGAGTCAGAATTCAAAACTTATGAATTCAGATTTTAAATTAGTCCTTTCAAGTTACTGGATTTAAAATTTCTATGATTTTTTTTTGATTTCAGCCGAACAAGCTCCACACCTTGAATTGACATGGCGATGATAGTGAGTCACTAAAGTTAGATAGTATGAAATTAGGAGAAACTATCGTATGAAATTAGGAGAAACTATCTAATTAGACAAATATATCTATCATATTTACTAATTCTCGTTTTAGTTAAAAATAATAACAACATTTAATCTAACTAATTGATAATTTCACCTCAAATTTCAAGTCAGACACACATTTGCTACTAGATAGATCGAAATAGGGAGAGAGCCGAATGAGATCATGAGGTAGACGATTGAGATTTGTGTATGTTTCCAGATACATGCGAATCATACTAGATACATGTATATACACGAACGAGATGGGAGGAAGGTGCCAGCGGATTTGCTAATGTATCATAGATAAATTCAAATCGACTTAAATGGAGAGTATCTATAACAAATTGCACCTTAATTATGACCCATGCATATCGAGATACATGTATCTAAACTAATCTAAACTCATAAAAATCCGATAAGATTTGTAATATTGCAAACTTGTATATATCTAAGTAATTAGCTCCTAAACTAGTTAGAATTTTTTTGTAAGATACCCATACAATTATTGGTTAATGGAAGACAACAGACTTAACTGCCCGACTACACCATTGGATCATGTTCAAGATTAGCACAATTTTGCAACATTTAGTTGGCACCAGGAAAGTTGCTCTTCTTAATTATTGGAATACAACTTGTGAAATAGTATTATGTTAAATGTGTACAATATATTGCAGATTCTCAAGCTTGCACATTGATCTACTCGCAACTTTACGTTTTCCATGCACACTTTTGACTTGTACACAATATATTTCACATTTGAATAATATATAGATCCCTGAATAACTTATACATGTATTATGATGGTGGAACGTAATTTAGTAACCAAATAAAGTATTAGACATTCTGAACTATATGGTACATTAACCAAATGGGCCTTATAAAGTTTCAATGGGCTTGGACTGATTCATTTTGGTTGCTCAAGGGACAACTCCAGTCCATACATTATTCAGAAAAAGCTTAATTGACACTTGCTAGTGAAAAGTTTTAATTTTGACAGCTACTTATCCAATTAAATCGTACTGGTAGTAAAGACAATCTTTACGTTTCAACTAGTCAGTCATCTTCCTCCGTATGCGACCTACTTAGCCTAATCGAAAATACACTAAACTTCCTTTTTTGTTCAAAATTATTTTTCATTTATAAATCAACAACGAAAATAATATTTTCTACTCTCCAATCAAATATAAAAAAATAGGTAAAAAATATGCTTTTAAAAAAAATATTTTCCATGAAAACGATTTCCTTTCGTACCAAACACACCCTTAATCTATGTACGCCACATGCCTCTCGTCTTTGGGAAAAATGGAGAGGAGCAATAATCCCATCAGTACTATTAATGTGGCGATAACAATGTACAATTTCCATAAGCTAAGAACCATGAGCCATCACTACAATAGTGCCACTTATATCCACCTACACTACCTCACACAGGTTTGGTATGCCTAACCCCCACTCCAACTTATAGTTGACTTTTGATGTAAATTATAGTAGTACCTTCCATAGACAAGTGAGACCGTTGAGAAATGTGAAAGACGTTATGAAGAACTCATACAGTCTGCTGGTGTCAACCAATAGGACATCCATAGCCAACTCATTGGCCATTTCCACACACACCATAACCGGCTTTTAGTTAGCTATCATCAATCTATTGGTCCTCGAGTAAATCCAAATGCAACAGACGCACCATCTAGGAGCACACCATATATTGCATACTCTTTACTTAGCTAAACATGTGTAACTATATACTGCAGAGCAGTCGGTTCAAAATGATACAAAACAAAAGAGTAATCCCAAGTGATGCCACCATATGAAGCTGGTGTCAAGATTAACAACAAAGCTAATAACATTTTTATGACTTGATATTCGAAAACCAGAGTTCAATTCATAACAGAATAGTTCAACATTGTAATAAAAGCATACCAGATATCTATTAGATTGAATATACACACTAATGAACAAACAAACTAGGCAGTGATTTAAAAAATGTTACTATAGAGCCTTCTCTGAGATTGAGTATTTTCAATTGCGCCTCTTCAAACGTATCTGCATAGAGTGAAAAATGATATCTATAATTCAAATTCATCTTCAAGCTTGAGTGCCTCAGAAGCAGCTTCTTCCTCCTCGTCATCAATCGCAAAATATGGATTGTGTGCCTTAGGCCTGAAGTTATACCCCGTGAAGGCATAGAAGGCAAGTGTTGCAGCTTCAGCAGCCACCACACTAGTCCACTGATACCGATAAGAGGTGATGGTCTCCAGAGCATAAACCACAACTCTTGTGAAGTAAATGTAACATATCACGATAACGTAGTACTGCCTGAATAATGTCAACTTCATCAAATTCACTGCAGCTTTGCCATCAGTCTTAGCTGCCTCTCGCAAGTTCTTAATCGACCACACAATCGGAAACAATACAGCACAACAACACACAATATCAACAAGCAAGAAAACCTGCTTCCATGTGTATGAATTTTCACCAAAAGGTCCAGTTTCATCAATCACAACCTGTGCAAGATTGGCCACAACTTGCAAAGGAATAACAATCATCAAAACCTTCTTCTCTTTATCTTGCAAGTAGGGCTTCAGAAATGACCAACCAGTTCCAATCAAAACTATCAGAGTGAACAAAGTAATACCCTTCAAGAAGCTAAATATATAGAACAAAACATCCCACCCATGAGCAGTACCAGTTTTCTTAATATACGATTTATCCTCAGCCTCACACAGCAAATTCAATGCTTTCAAGATCACAACAGCAAGCATAAAGAAATGAATTCCATAAACAGATAATCTTTTCTTGTAAAGAGCAAAAACCCAAAAAGCCCCCATCAACACATAAACTACGAAAAACAAATAGTAAATCGCTGGAAGAGCAGTCTTGCCTGCCGACAGAAAATCAAGCTGCCCACTTTTCGGGTTAAAATTGTACATAACCGAGTGAACATTCATCGAAACCACCAAATTAGGCATGCAATTGGCAAAAACAAGAGTGAATTGATTCGCATCAGATACACTAAACGAAGTTGTGAATTGACGCGCAGAGGGTTGCAATTGATCAAAAGTGAAAACCCTTTTGACGAGATCTGAATGGAGAGTACACCGGATATCACCATCTTGAAGTTGCTCAAGAACATGCTGCCAAGCTTCACGGGTGACGAGGAAGAAACCCAATTCGGATAGAACGGGTTCGGGTCCGGATTTGGGGTTGGAGAATGAGATATCGGTGACAGTGAGATTGAGACGGCCGAAATGGGTGTACCCAAATTCGTCAAAAGGGATGGTAGAACGAGAACCGGATCGGATCTGGGTGGATCGGATCTCTGCGATGGCGGTGGCAATCAAGAGAAGAAAGACTAAAGAGAAAAGTGAAGAATTGTATAGAGCAGCCATGTTTTTGGAATTGATGAGAAGTGAGAAGAGGAAGAAGAAAGATCAGCTGCAACTGTAAGAAGTGAAAATGCGAATGGACTTTGTGGTATTTGAGGTAGACTACAAAGTCTACAACACAATAAATTCAAGATCCATCTTTGGACTTTGTAAAGTGTAGGTGGAAATGGACACCATTAAGACTTGGCCAGCAGTTGGAAAGTAGTATCTAATGGTAATGGGATAAAATGTAAAAATTATTTTTACATTTGATTAGAATTATTAAATAGTATTAAAATTTTAGATGGCCTATAACTTATAACACCAAAAAACCCTTTCAGAATTTAGTTTGAACTAAACTAGTAGAGATGAAGAGACTTACTTTATTTAAAATATCTATCAACTTATTTAGATCATAAATATCTAGTCAGACTAATTCATATAGTATGAGATGGAGGAAGTATATTATTATTTTAATTTTGTTGACTATGGTAAATTATTAATTACTTTATTTTTTTTATGTAATTATATGAGAATTACATTTTATTGTACAAAATTGTAACTTTCTCATGTAAAAACTTTATACACACTCATTACACAAAATTTAAACTCGACAATTCTTCATATGAATGGTTTTTTTTTTGTTTATTTGATAGTATACTATCATTGAGCTTTTTCACATAACGTGATACTTATATACTGAGTACTTTGTGATACTTGTCCTGGTCTGTAATGGATCAAAATGAACATGGCCGACAAACATATTATAAAAACAATTGTGTGCATCAGGGGCGGACTCACATGGAGTCTGCTGAATGCTCGAGCACCCATTAACTTTATTACGAAATATATATATCTATTTAGAAATTAAGAGGCAGTTGTATAAAATTAAGATAGAACTTTCGATGAATAATCTAATTGGCCTAATGACTCTTAGATTGGTTGCTTAAGTTTCTTTTAGTGTTGTTGAACCAGGGTTCGAGTTTCATTGTTAACATGTATGAAAAATATCAGGTGATGTAATATTCTTACTAACAAAATAAAAGAAAAATTAAATAGTCAATCTAAAATATGATTAATAATTTTTTGTAGTTTTCAAATATTTTAAAGGGATAATGCACAAGTACCCCCTCAACCTATGCCCGAAATTCCAGAGACACACTTATACTATACTAAGGTCCTATTACCCCCTGAACTTATTTTATAAGTAATTTTCTACCCCTTTTTAGCCTACGTGGCACTAGTTTAAAAAAAAGTCAACCATCGTTGGACCCACAAGATAGTGCCACGTAGGTCGAAAAGGGGTAAAAAATTATTAATAAAATAAGTTCAGGGGGTAATAGGACCTTAGTATAGTATAAGTGTGTCTCTGAGATTTCGAGCACAGGTTGAAGGGGACCTTAGTATAGTATAAGTGTGTCTTTGAGATTTCGGGCATAGGTTGAGGGGGTACGTGGGCATTATCCCTATTTTAAATAAATGTACTAAAATAAGATGAAATCAAGAATATCTAATTTAGATATAAAATGAATATTTAAATACTGAAATAATGAAAAATATCAAATTTGATAAAAATTTATGTGTCTACAAATTTTTGTTTTAAAACATTTTGAACAATTTTGATAGTTTAGATAACAATTGATAACATTGAAAAAGTTTTCAAAAATATAATCAATAAAAGAGATTTAAACATTTGTTTTGTTACGTAACATACAATAGTTTATATATGTTTATTTTTGTCTTACCTAATATTACAATCAATTGAAAAAGAAAGTTAATAATTAAAGTATAATCAATTAGACTATTTTTTAGAATTTATGAAAATAATATATATATATATATATATATATATATATATATATATATATATATATATATATATATATATATATTCTTGTCTTGCCCATTCATCTCATCTCTCGTGGTGTAGGCAGAAAATCCAAGAAGAATGTCCAAAGTAAAGTTAACATAGTAAAAAAAGGGAAAATGCACAAGTACTCCTCAACCTATACCTGAAATTTTAGAGGCACACTTATATTATATTAAGGTCCTATTACCTCCGAACTTATTTTATAAGTAATTTTCTATCCCTTTTCGGCCTACGTGACACTAGTTTGAAAAAAATCAATCAGTGTTGGACCCATAAGATAGTGTCACGTAAGTTGAATAGGGGTAAAAAATTATTAATAAAATAAGTTCAGGGGTAATAGGACCTTAGTATAGTATAAGTGTGTCTCTGAAATTTCGGGCATAGGTTGAAAGGTACTTGTGCATTATCCCAAAAAAAAATATTAATCAATTTTACGAATCTTCTTTTTTTCATTAATTCAATTTTATTTTTTCGAATTTTAATCTCAAATTTTTCACAATATTCATTTTTATTTCATTTCAAAATTGTGATGGTAAAGCTGTTTTCATAACTGACATATTCATTGAAAGCGAAGATCAAAAACAAAAAAAATAAAAAATTACATCACATACATGAAAGAAACAAATTAGATAAATAGTATATTTAAAATCAGACACAATTCTTGATGGTGAAAGTGGAGCAAAAAGAATTAAAGATTATTACATGCATTGTGTAGTCACCTTTTAGCATGGAGTATATATGCGCACAAGAACTTTAGATATACTTTTTGAAGGAATGAATTGTATTAGTATTGAAAATTTAAATGAACATTACGAGTTAAAAGATAAAAAGGATCTTACTTCATCACGAGAGAGGTTTCCAACGAATTTGTATCATTGTCAACATTTAGTTCCCAACTCAAGCCAAACTGCAATTAATCGATTGCACTACAACTTCATTCATCAACTAAACCTCCGCTGCAATCAAGTAAATTGAACTCCGAATCCAATTCAAAAATGTTCATTAACATAAAACTGTAAATGAAATTAATCGATAATTCGAATAACAAACAAATCAATAGTAGCGCCAAATATCTCAGATTAATATCTTTGCATATACAAGTAATGTGAGTGTGGTATATGAAACCCCATTTGTGTTACAAATCAAGAGGACTTCATTTGATTTCATAAGCTGAACTTTAATATACTTCTATTAGCAATACATGGATGATATTCTAGATCTCAAAGCAAAATTAACTGTAAGTGTTTTCATGGCATCAACCTACCCACTAATTAAGCATCAATTAGTTCCTACTCTTCGCAAAGAAATGGAAGTGTTTAACATGTCAAAAATATTTTTGTTTCTGGTTAATTGTATTCTCTTCTTTGCCAATATCTTTGCATTTTTTTCGGTGTCATTGCCTCAAGATTCTATTCATCTAATTGAGTTTGGAATCAGTCTGTTTCACTCTGTCGAATCATTGAATTTCAGAAACTTTCTAATATCTAGAAATTTGGATAAGACCTTTTACAATACTGCATCAATTGATTGACGGAGTTATGAGAATAAAAAATAAATAGGAACAAAATAAACATTATTAACTATTAAACTGAGTGAGTTGAAGACCTGAAATGCAACATGACCGACAGACAATAAAATAATCGCATGTATGGATCTAAAAACGTGCTGTATTATATATATTTAAAAAGAAGAGAGAGAGAGACTGGCTCCCTCATTTAGAATTATTGAACAACCAGCCAAAACAAAGCATTAAATATTCTCCAATTTTGGTTGTTTCCTAAGTCATTCATTACCTACTACCCCATTAATTAGCTGAGGACACACTATGAAACAACATTCTCAGGCGCCTCAGCCCAAAAATAATAGTATTTGAGCTAGAAGCTCAGAAATGTTCTTGTTTATGGTAAATTGCCTTGTCTTCTTTGCAATCTTTTCGGTCTCATCGCCTCAAGATTCTGTTCATCTACTTGGGTTTCGGAGCAGTCTTCCAGAGCTTTCTCAACAATTGCTCCCGTGGAGTCGGTCTGTCTCGCACTGCCAATGGAAAGGAGTTTCCTGCTATTCAGACACAACTTGTCATGTCAAATCATTGAATCTAACAGACTTATTTCTACCTGGAACCTTGGACAAGGCCTTTCCTAATCTCTGCCGTCTTCCTCGCTTAGTCTCTCTTGATCTCAGTGGCAACCATTTCACTGGTGGCATCCCTGATATGCTCGCCAACTGCAGCCAACTTGACACGATTCTACTCAATGACAACAGATTTTCAGGATCCATCCCACCAGAGATTTTCAAATCAAGCAAACTTATAAAACTTGATTTGAGTTTAAATCAGCTCAATGGCACTATTCCCTCTGAGGTAAGCCTTTCTACAAACCTTCAACATCTCGGGCTGTGGAACAATTTCCTTAGTGGAAATATTCCAAAAGAGCTATTTCATTTGCAAAACTTGACACATCTCCACATCAACACCAACGAGCTGACAGGACCTCTACCCGAGTTCCCATCCTCGTGCTCCCTTTCAGAGTTGTTTATTTATGAGAACCGTCTCTCAGGTTCTTTGCCAATTACCCTAGGCAATTGTCACAACCTTACTTCATTCTCTGCATCATCTGCTCATCTTGGAGGAGTTATTTCCCTAGAGGTTTTTAGGGACCTTTCAAATCTTGAATTTCTCTATTTAGATGATAACAACTTTGAAGGGGAAATTCCTGAGACCTTATGGAATGGGAGGTTACAAGAGTTAGCTCTTTCCTTGAATATATTTAATGGTAGTATATCCGAAAAGATTGGTGCTTCGCATCAGATAAATTACATTGATTTGTCAGTTAACAATTTAACTGGTCAGCTTCCAAGATCAGTCGGACGTCTGAAGAATCTGACCAAGCTTTTTCTGTATAATAACATGCTTACTGGTTCATTACCAGCAGAAATTGGGAACTGCACTTCTCTTGTTGCGATAAGTCTCGCCACTAACTTCATTGGTGGGGAAATTCCTCTAGAGCTCTGCAATCTTCACTCCCTAATAAATTTTCAAGTGTACGAAAATCAAATTCAGGGACAAATTCCAGAATGCATTGGCAGAATAAGTGGACTGGAGGAGCTAGATCTTAGAGAGAACCTATTGATCGGCAAGATACCACCTGGAATCACAAACATGACGAAACTTGTGTTACTCTCTTTGGCTCATAATAAGCTTACAGGGGAGGTACCACGTAATCTTGGAAAAAACAATTTTCCAGGCTTATTTAAGGTTGATTTAGGTTATAATAACTTCAGCGGACCAATTCCTTCTGAACTATGTAATGGCAAAAGGCTTGGAGTCCTGGTTCTTGAAAACAACAGTTTTGATGGCAGCTTCCCAACATATCTGGCAAAATGTGAATCCCTCTATAGGGTAAAACTCCCCAACAACAATCTGCAGGGGAGTATTCCTGACTACATTGAAAAGAATGAGAAGATTTCTTACTTGAATGTTCGAGGAAATATGCTAGCAGGAAGGATTCCAGCAGCATTTGGTTATTGGACCAATCTTTCAACAATTGATCTTTCAGAGAATATGTTTTCTGGTTCCATACCTGCCGAAATTGGGAAGCTGCAAAATCTTGAGAGACTGAACATTTCTTCAAACAGACTGACAGGAAAAATTCCTCTTCAGTTAAGTTACTCTCCAAAACTGGCAGAGTTGGATCTCAGCAACAACAATCTTTCAGGAAGAATTCCGAAAGAAATTGCATCATCTACAGTACTGACAAATCTTCTACTCCAGGACAACAGACTTTCTGGCGCTCTTCCAGACACTTTCTCCTCCTCACAAAAGCTTGTAAAGCTGCAGCTCGGGGACAACTTGCTTGAAGGCTCAATTCCATGCAGTCTGAGTAAACTTAGGGAACCTAATGTTGCACTGAATCTGAGCATGAATAAGTTTAGTGGTCAAATTCCTAGGTGTCTGAGCAACCTAGACAATTTAGAAATCCTTGATATATCAAGCAACAACTTGTCTGGTGCCATACCATCAGAAATGGACAAGATGAGGTCCCTTTCGTTTCTCAACATATCATTTAATAACTTGTCAGGGAAGGTACCCATTTCATGGGAAAAACGATTAAGTTCACATCCAGGAACTTCCCAGGGAAATCCAGGACTCTGCTTATCAGACACTGAAAGTAGCAACTGCAACCATGTGAAAAAATCACAAATAAACTGGAAGACTTTGGCAGGTGTAATTAGCGGATGTGTGCTTTCCATGGCTGTCATAGCTGTGGCAATATACTTGCTAGTGACTCGGATTCAGCACGCTTCCCTACTGAATAAGCATCCGCTCGTCAAGTATCAGTCAGAAATTGAAGATCTGCCAGATCATATAAATTTTGAGGACATTGTACATGCAACAGAAGGCTGGAGCGAAAAATATGTAATTGGAAGAGGCAAGCATGGAACTGTTTATAAGATGGGATCTGCAAAATCCAAAAAACTTTGGGCTGTCAAGAAGGTTGACTTAGCTCATAGAGCATTCAGCAATGAAATGAGAACCCTAAATTCTGTCAGACACCGCAATTTGGTAAGAGTGGGAGGATACTGCATCAGACATGGATATGGCTTCATTCTAACAGAATTTATCCCCGGAGGAACTCTTCATGATTTCCTTCACCAGAGAAAACCACATGTAGTCTTGGACTGGGAGGCCCGCCATCGTATTGCTCTTGGTGTTGCTCAAGGTTTGTCTTACCTTCATCATGATTCTGTCCCTCAAATCATTCACAGAGATCTCAAATCAGATAATGTAATGCTGGATACTGAGATGGAGCCAAGGATTGGAGACTTCGGGATTGCTAAAACAGTATCAGACTCTGATGAAAACTCGACAAACTCCAAAATTGTTGGGACACTAGGATACATTGCTCCAGGTTAGCCACACGGTACCATGCTAGTCTTTAGTAATAATTTATTTGGCAGATTACTTTGATGATTTAATAAATTTTATTACTTTCTCTCCGATCTCTCATCCCTTTCCTTGTCTGTCCATCAATTCAGAGAATGCGTACTCAGTTCACTTGACAGAGAAAAGTGATGTCTATAGCTATGGAGTTCTTCTACTGGAGCTCTTCTGCCGAAAAATGCCAGTAGACCCCAGCTTTGAAGAAGGATTAGACATTGTATCCTGGATGAGGACAAACTTGCACAGAAGCGACAACAATTTCCTTCACTTTCTAGATGAAGAAATTAGTTTTTGGTACATAGAAGAACAATGGAAGGCCCTGAAAATGGTGTATCTAGCGCTTCAATGTGCTGAACTCCAGGCCAGCACCAGGCCTGCAATGAGGGATGTAGTAAGGTCTCTTGTCGAGTTAAATCAGATGTAAAAGAGAAGAAATGAAACTTTGAATAGTGAAAGCCATAATCAACTTTTCCATATTCCGACGTCTTTCTTTTTTCTTTGCTTACATAAAATTGAACCATTTCTCGTTTTGTGTGTGTCAACCTTGCATTCAAAGGCTAAATTCCAACATAACCTGATCCTGGGTGTTTCTGTTTAACTTTGTGACATCCACTGCAACAATATAGACTTTTCGTAAAAGCAGTTTTCGTGTTCTAGCGATAGCTCTTTTCATAGTGGGCCACTGTCCTTAATCAACTTTTTCTTGTTACTTTCTCCAGCTGCTCCAAAATCTGAACAGTTTTGAGGTATAATAATTAAAAAGAGAGTACTAAAGAACAAAGGTTTGCTACAACCTAGTATTTATCTTATGGACTATGACAATACGGATTATAAAAGAAAATAGCACTTCATATTCAGCAGAAAAAGATGAGCTTTTGTTGGATTTGGTCATAATAGTGATGACATCCACTTTACCAGTCTTATTTGCATTCCAAACTTCCATTAACTAAATTATTTTTGACAAAGAAAATAAAAAGTAGATATGATGAATAGAAATGACTTATGGACAATCATTGTATTTCATGCACATGCACATACTTAAAAATAATGTAGACATACCTCAGGTATGGGTTACCACAGGACTTCTAACAAGACTTGACAGAGGAATGGCAAATACACAGGAAAATCAGATGAGAGAGTCCGGCAATAGTCCTTGGAGAATTATTAATCAGAATTCAGTAGAAAGGAGATATGCAAGAGGTGAAAGAACAAACTGGCAGGACTACGGCAAGTTACAGATAGATGAAAGACATACCTCAGTTACGAAAACTGCAGCGCTGGAGCATAATACAGCGCACACCTAAATAATCATCAGAGTAGAAGAAGCCCAACTAAAACATTGCAGATTCCTGTTCCGGATATTTTATCTAGTTGTTTGGATGTGCATTACAAGCCAAACTGCACAAGATTTTGACTACTTTTCAACCTTAAATCATTCAAAGAATTTGCATCGGACATATTCACGCAGCAACACCATATATGCTGATAAGTCTAAGACTTGCTTCCAACAGAGTCAGATCCACATTATAAAGATTCATATCTCTGTATTAATACTAAATAAAAGCTAACCTTTGCAAAAGCTCGAGTTCTATAACTTGCTTACATTTTCTTGAAAAGAACTATTCCAACCAATCATGATAATGATAAATATATATTCCCACATGAATATATCAACGTAAACATATATTTTTCAATTGATTGTACCTATGTTTAATGAATTTGGGAACCTAGTAGTCAGGTTACTAGACAATCTACAATATATCCCTTAAGCTTTTCACCTCAAACTCTTTTGGTCAATCAATATTTTTATTGATAACAAGGCAACAAAATTAAAGGACAATACGATACACAAGGGTTTTCATATAGTTGGGTGACATATGGAACCAACTAAACCTATTCCCAGAAACTTATTGAAGTCCATTGACCCCCATATTGGGTGCTCAATCCCAGATCTTCTTTCAAAGTAAAACTAAAATTTCAGAAAACAATTAACTAGACAAACAAGGAAACATAGATTTAACAGCACAAACATGACTGAGGAGTAGAGATGAAGAGCAATAGTCCTCTCCCGGCACTCGAATTTTGAAATTCTAAGATAATAAAAGGGGTTGTCCGCTTATTAGAAAACTATACATTACCCTTAAAATCCAATACTCCGTCCGCAGTAGCAACCATCCGCAGTCAATTGGAGGAAAGAGAGGACACCTGAGCTTTGGCGGAATTTTTTTTTGTAATACAAGATGTAACATGAATATCGAAAGGACATATACTTATATATGATGTCTCTATATTGGAAAAAACTAACCAAATATTATACTATAAGCGGTGTTGAATTTTATAAAATCAAAAACGTATAGTTATAAATAAAATGTTGGAGGTGATAAATATGGTAATGTGTACTTGTTAGTGATGATTGTGATGACATATATGATTGATTATTGGTGATGATAATAAAGATTGACAATGATAATAGCGATGATATGATATAATTATTATAATGATAAAAGTGATAGAACAGTAACAGTTGATAGTTATAATGTTTAAATGCGATAACATAGGTGATTGATTGATGGTTGGCGACATTAATAGTGATGGTGGTTATTATGACTAAGGTGGTTTAAGATGATGGTTGGTGATTGTGGATTAAGTATAGCGATGAAAATTAATCATGCAAAAATATATTTTAATGATATTAAAACACTGCTAAAAACAATAATGACTAAGAGCATGTTTGAGTAGTTTTATAGTGTTCGATTTTTAGAATAGTTTTCAAGTAGATTCATATTGTTCCGCTAAAATAATAAAATAAAATACTACTTTTTAAGTTATAATAACAACTTTTAAGATTTGTTCAGACCAAATGAATATTTGAAATTTAATTAAAACAAATATACATCTTATTTAAAAAAAAATTCAGCTAAACGCCTATTACCTCTAGGGAGTAGAACATATCTTTCAATTGTATTGTTGTAGTACATAAAATATAATGTAAAATGACATAAACAACACGTTACACGATTTGATCAGTGGGCAATTGAGGACCCTGCTAAGTGCTAAATCCACATCTTACTGTAAAATGGGGAGAATAATGTGAAAGCGATGCTTTTTTAGAGGACAACCAGATGTAAAAGACATCATTCTAGTCACTCAACTTGTCAATTTTTGTGATGAAACTATTATTGTACAACTTTGAACTCGTTAGTTAAGCTGATGAATAATATTTAGTTGACTTTGCTCAAGTGGTGTATTAGATATTGCTGAAATTCGTCAAAAAGCACTAGCGGCCACTTGCTAGTCCTAGTCGTAAATATATGGCCCGACAGCCATATATAAATAAAAAATTATTGCGAGCATCTCAAGAAACTACCATATTATTATATAAAAATGAGTAAAAAGCATGGAGCTGTCAGCTCAGACCTCATATTCATGGCCATTTTTTTAAGCACTAGTTTTATTTTTTCAACACCTTCGTTTTCAATGGATGCTTCATTTTACCACTTATTCGTTATTATTGACCTTTCAAATCTAACTTCCAAAATCCAACTACTTAAAATAATCTCCTATTTTCATTATTCCCTCGGACAGTCGTTACCTACTGCCAACTTAAAACCTAAATAGTAGTCCAAAAATTAGTTTTTGAACTAGCTAGTGTTAAAAGAGTTGAGAAATGTTCTTGTTTGATGTTGTTCATTGTTTTATCTTCTTTGCCAGCGTTGTAGCAGTTTTTTCGGCGTCATTGCCTCAAGATTCTGTTCATCTACTTGAGTTTCGAAGCAATCTTCCAGAGCCCTCTCAACAATTGCTCCCTTGGAATCAATCTGTCTCACACTGTAAATGGAAGGGTGTTACCTGCTATTCAGACAAAACTTCACAAGTCGAATCATTGTATTTCAGGGACTTCCTTGTATCTGGAATCTTGGACAAGGCGTTTTCCAATCTTTGCCGTCTTCCTCGTTTGGTCTCCCTTGATCTCAGTGGCAACCATTTGACGGGTGGCATTCCTGCTATGCTCGCTAACTGCAGTCAACTTGACACGGTTTTCCTCAACGACAACAGGTTTTCAGGATCCATCCCGCCAGAGATTTTCAACTCTAAAAGGCTTGTATACCTTGAGTTGGGTTACAATCAGCTCAATGGCACCATTCCTTCTGAGGTAGGCCTCTCGACGAGCCTTCAATATCTTGGGCTGTGGAACAATTTCCTTAGTGGAAATATTCCAAAAGAGCTATTTGGTTTGCCAAATTTAACAGAGCTCTACATCCACACAAATAATCTAACGGGACCTCTCCCAGACTTCCCGTCCTCGTGCTCACTTTCCCAGCTTCTTATACATCAGAATCGCTTTTCGGGTTCTTTGCCAATTTCCCTAGGTAATTGTCACAACCTTTCTGCATTCTATGCAACATCTGCTCATCTTGGAGGACTTATTTCCCCAGAGGTTTTTAGGGGCCTTTCAAATCTCGAATTTCTCTCTTTAGATGATAACGACTTTGAAGGGGAAATTCCTGAGACCTTATGGAATGGGAAATTACAAGAGTTGGTTCTTTCCATAAATAATTTTAATGGAAGTATATCCGAAAAGATTGGTGGATGCCATCAGATGACTTACATTGATTTGTCAGATAACAAATTAAGTGGTCAGATTCCCAAGTCAGTTGGACGTCTGAAGAATTTGTACAAGCTGCTTCTGTATGATAACATGTTTAGTGGTTCATTACCAGCACAAGTTGGGAACTGCACTTCTCTTGCTGAGATAAGTCTCGTCAGTAACTTCATCAGTGGGGAAATTCCTTCAGAAATTTGCAGCCTTCAAAACCTTGAAACATTTAATGCATTCAAAAATAGAATTCAGGGCCAAATTCCAGAATGCATTGGAAGAATAAGCGGGCTGCAGGAGCTAGCTCTTTATGAGAACCGATTGACCGGCAAGTTACCGCTTGGAATTACGAATATGACGAAACTTTCATTTCTGTCCTTGGCTCATAATAACCTTACGGGGGAGGTACCACCTGATCTTGGAAAAGATAACTTTCCTGGCTTAGTTAAGGTTGATTTAGGTTATAATAACTTCAGTGGACAGATTCCTTCTAAACTGTGTAATGGCAACAGGCTTGCAGTCCTGGCTCTTGAAAACAACAGGTTTAATGGCAGCTTTCCAACCTATCTAGCAAAATGCAAATCTCTCTATAGGGTAAAACTTCCCAACAATAATCTGCAGGGGAGTATTCCAGACGACATTGAAAAGAATGAGAATATTTCTTACTTGGATGTTAGACAGAATATGCTTGTAGGAACGATTCCAGCTGCATTTGGTTACTGGACCAATCTTTCAATGATTGATCTTTCTGAAAATATGTTTAATGGCTCCATACCCACAGAACTTGGCAAGCTTCAGAATCTTGTAAAACTGAGCTTTTCTTCAAACAGACTGACCGGACAAATTCCCTTTCAGTTGAGCAACTCTGAAAAGCTGGAGGAGTTGGATCTAAGCAACAACAATCTTTCAGGAAGAATTCCTAAAGAAATTGCATCATCTTCAGTATTGACGAATCTTGTACTCCAGGACAACAAACTCTCTGGTGCTCTTCCAGACACTTTCTCCACCTCACAAATGCTTGTAAAGCTGCAGCTGGGAAACAACTTGCTCGAAGGCCCAATTCCATGCAGTCTGAGTAAGCTTATGCAACCTGGTTTTTCACTAAATCTGAGTATGAACAAGTTTAGTGGTGAAATTCCTAGGTGCCTAGGCAATCTTGACAAATTGGAGGTCCTTGATATATCAAGCAACAACCTGTCTGGTGCAATACCATCAGAAATGGAAAAAATGAGTTCCCTTTCGTTTCTCAACATATCATTTAATAGCTTGTCAGGGAAGGTACCCAATACATGGGAAAAACTATTAAGTTCACGTCCAGGATCTGCCTTGGGAAATCCAGGACTTTGCTTAATGGACACGGAAAGAAGCAACTGCAAGCATGTGAAAAAATCACAAGTAAAATGGAAGACTTTGGCAGGTGTAATTAGTGGATGTGTGCTTTCCATGGCAATCATAGTTGCTGCAATGTACTTACTAGTGACTCGGATTTGGCACCCATCCCTGCTGAATAAGCATCGGCTCGTCAAGTGTCAATCAGGAATTGAAGATTTACCTGATGGTATAACTTTTGAGGACATTGTACGTGCAACAGAAGGCTGGAGTGAAAACTATGTTATTGGAAGAGGCACGCATGGAACCGTCTATAAGATGGAATCTGCCAAATCCAATAAACTTTGGGCTGTCAAGAAGGTTGACTTAGCTCAGAGAGCATTCAATGATGAAATGAGAAGCCTAAATTCTGTCAGACACCGCAATTTGGTAAGATTGGGAGGATATTGCATGAAACATGGATATGGCTTCATTCTAACAGAATTTATACCTGGAGGGACTCTTCATGATGTCCTTCACCAGAGAAAGCCACCTGTAGTCTTGGACTGGAAGTCCCGCCATTGTATTGCTCTTGGTATTGCTCAAGGTCTATCATACCTACACCACGATTCGTTGCCTCAAATCATTCACAGAGATCTCAAATCAGATAATGTAATGCTGGATTCTGAGATGGTGCCAAAGATTGGCGATTTCGGGATTGCTAAAATGGTATCAGATGAAGAAAATTTGACAAACTCCAATGTTGTTGGGACTCTAGGATACATTGCTCCAGGTTAGCCACACGTTACCATGCTAATTTTCAGTATAATTCAGTTGGCAGATTACTTTGATGAACTAATAACTTTTACTACTGTCTTCCCTGGCCCCCTTTCTCTTTTTGTCCCTCCATCTATTCAGAGAACGCATACTCAGTTCAACTGACAGAGAAAAGTGATGTCTATAGCTACGGAGTTCTTCTTTTAGAGCTTTTCTGCAGAAAAATGCCAGTAGACCCCAGCTTTGAAGAAGGATTAGACATTGTTTTCTGGGTGAGGAAAAACTTGCAGAGAAGCAACAATATCCTTAGTTTTCTTGATGAAGAAATTAGGCTCTGGAATGTAGAAGAACAATGGAAGGCCCTGAAAATAGTGGATTTGGCGCTTCAATGTGCTCAACTCGAGGCAAGCATCAGGCCAGCAATGAGGGATGTAGTAAGGTCTCTTGTCGAGTTATGAAGAGAGGAATGCAAGATGATTTGAAGGCAGGTGCAGTTCAATCCAGAAGTTCAAGAGCTCCTGCATTTCTCTTCTTCATTTTTGGTGTAAAGAACAGTTAGTTGATGATGTTGAATCATTACTA